AGAACTAAAGCTCTTGGAAAAATACTTTAGAAAATAAGCACTTGCTTAGGTGTGAAGATTTAGGGCCTGATCCCCTGAGCTGTTGTAAATCTGACTTCCATAAGAGGTGGGGTAGTGCAGGATTCCTGTTTCACACATACTTCAGTCCCACAGCAGCAGAAATGACATTGGTACATGGGCTGGTCTTTCATGGCCATTTCCTATACAGAAACACTGCCCATCGCACCCACACCCCAGAAATCCCCAGATGCTATGCCTGAATTCAGTGATTATTTTAATTTATAATGCTTGGTTTAATGTATCCTAAACCACATGTATTTTAACTAGAAACTCCCCAGGGTCTTCGTTCAGAACTAATTGCTTGCTGTTTGTGCAGTTCTTCAAATATGTAAAATGCTCTGTGAGGGCTTGGAATTACTCAGCTCTGCTCTGATTTGGTCCTAAAGATGGGTAGGGGTGTCTAGCTGAAGTGCAAGCCTGGGAATCAACATGTATAGGCCCTCATTCTGGCTCTGCAGAGACAGTATAATTTTTGGGCAAGTTGACTAAAGTGGCCTACAGCTTGGATTTCCTGTAGGGGAAGGATAATGATTTTATTTTTAATTGGGCTAAAAATGCAGTTGAAGGGCTGACTACAGAAATGGTTGGAAATTACAAATGAAATTTATCATAGCTGTTATTATTAGTACGTCATTGAGAATGAATTTAGCTCAGATCATGTTTTCCCCCATAATAGACTATGGGGGGTAAGAAGATTTCTAAAATAGCTCTGAAAAAGTCTTTTTTCTCATAATTTTGAGCATTTCCCATCTGCTGTGAGCACATTCCTGTTTTATTTCCTAAATATCTTTTCCTTCTGTTTCTATTTTAAAGTTCCTTTTGCCAAGATTTTACTTCACAGTCACTGCTGCCAGGAGTGGGGTAGGGGTGTGTGGCAAGTAAGCATTTACCTTTCAGATTTTGCAGTTAATTGACTGGCAGGCCATGGAAGTCCCTGCACCACTTCCACTAAGTGCTTGGTGCTTAAATCCCTCTTGCAGCCCTTAAGTTGCTCTCCAGCTCTGGTGATTGCTGGTACCTTCTCCTTTCCTTCTGTTGTAATAACTGAGAGGTTTGGAGTGGCTGAATTCATGGGGTCACATACATTTCAGGCTGGGATTGCATTTTAAAATAGTTCCTGACTGTTCCAAGTTGGCAGGCTGGGAATGCTTCTGCTTGCCCACTGCATTCAGTCTATCATGTTTCTGTCCTTACATTCTGCAGTAAATGGAGGACATACTGTTCAGGGGAAAAAGTCCTGCCAGGGCTACCAAATGTACTTTGCAGTCTACACTGAAAGCAGCTCCCTCTGTTCTACCTTTGGAGCTGGAGAAGGGGCTACATTCTCTCCCGAAGCAGTTTCATTGATTCCCTGCTCTGGGCAGCTTTGGTACTTCTCCCCCTCCAGCTCCTTCCTCTTGAGATCTTATGGGGAAAATGTCATGAAAGGCAGTTCTGGAGGGTGTCACATTTCTGTGGGACCTCCTTCACCCCTGAAGAAGGGATATCATGAATAAATAGGCCCTGTTGCAGGGTAACTTCTGCTGAGCTCACTCAGTAATCCTCTGTCTCACATCTCTACTAATTGCATTATCAAAATGCCATGTACGTTGTAATGTCTTAAAGTTTTTTTAACAGGACAGTTTTCTGTCTGAAAATTCTGCTTTTCAGAAAGCAAGTGTTTCATGGAAATGAAATGTCAGTTTTGCCAAATTTCCGATTGACTGTCATCTTTTGTTCCTTTTTCCCCCCCCCCCCCCCCCCATTTCACAATTATCCTTTATAAAAAGAAGGAATTAAGCCATCTTAGTAGTAACAGTTACTTCTTGGGTCATGCTTCTGTGAAATACTTCAATTCCACGTTTTCAAGCCCAGAGACGGCAGAATTTTTGTCAGCTGGCAAATTAAAGGACATCAGATTTTTCTCAGGCAATTCCATTTGTCCTTACAGCTCCCTTTGAGTTGGAAGAGCAGCACTTCCCAGTATTTTATGTGTGAGGAAGGGAGGTATAACAAAGCTAAATAATCCACCCAAGCTTATAATTGAAGCCTGGCACGGAGTGGTGCCCACACATGTGCCATTCACCATCCTTTATCCAAGTCATGTTAGCTCTGCTAGGAATTTTTTACTCTTTTGCAAAGCCTCAGTCCCCAAAACTTACAACGATTTCTGTGCCTGTGGAGTTTGGGGGCAGATTTAAAGATATGAATCACTTATCTGAGGAACAGTAGGCTCAAACCTCCCATATGTAGGCTGGTTTAATTTGAATTTCTTGACTTTTCCTAAGTGAGAAACTGAATGTAGTTTCTTCCTTCTTTCAACCTCCCTGGCTCTACTGATATCCAAAAATGCAAAATGACATCTTGTCTCAGCCCACCAGAGCAGATGCATTGCAAGGGATTAGACTGGAATTTTTCCTAAAATGCAGCATTCTGAGTCGTTTTTGGAAAATGTAGCTGGAGAACAGAGGGTTTGATGTTCACTTGATGCTAACCCAGCAAGGCAGGAGATATGCAGCAAGTGAAAGCTGTAGGCACAGCCCAGAGCCAGCATGGCCAAAAACCAGAAGGCCTCTTGTTAAGGGACAGAGCCCTGAAGGTGAAGCAAACTGGTGGGTCAAGAGGACAGGCACCAGCAGAGCCTCATCTGATGTCCAGGCAGGGAAAAATCATCTCACAGCTGCATTGAGACACAGGAGAACAAACAGCAAAGCTCCTGGCTGAGGGAAGTGGACACAGCTGAGGGGTTGAGCTGAGAGTCATTGTTTTGGGGTGCAGTGTCTGGAAGAGGTTGGAACAACTGGAGATGTGGATAGATGTGGATATTTGAGGCTCTTGCATCCTTACCCCCACTCTATGTGTGAGGACCACTGATGGAGGTAAAGCTGAGCAGCAGCTTCATCTTCCATGAGAAAGGAGCTGCACAGGGGTCTTGAATGCTTATCCCTGCTCAGGTGTGCAGGGAACTGTGTCATGTTGCTCTTCATCCTCCTTGAGATACACCAACCCTAGATTTGGTTCAGAATAGATGTAAGTAAATGCTGCAGAGTGAAGATATCTGTGTAGGAGGACATAACAAGCTTCTGACAGATGGAAAAAGGCTGATGAATCCTGAAGTCATGGGTGAGATCCAGCTGTCCTGGTGTGTGTGTCCCCCCAGCATCTCCTGCCCTTCAATTAACCTTTAATTAACCAGGATTTGACCTGGGTGGAAAGCCAGGTTAGAGATTTCCAGACATGTTGTCAAGAAAAAACATGGGAACTTGAGGGGACAGGGAGGTAAATTTGTTAAAAAAAATATAATTTTGACTGAGAAAGAAAAATTTTAAAAAGTATTTGGTGGGGTTTTTTTCTTCCTCTTCTTCTTTTTATTTTTCTATTTTGGCCCTAATGATTTTTTTTCAAGAATGGTCGACTAGGTCTAATGAAAAGAATTATTGAATCCATTGCTGAGGGCCTAATTCTCTATCTCATGTAAATTACAAGTCAGTCTGAAATGAAGCCATGCAGGTGTCTTGCAGGAATTATTTGGTCCGCTGTAATTACTACAGCATAAATGAATGTTCCTCTGAAAAAAAAAGAAGAGGAGATGATAGGAAAGGGGCCCATCAGCTTTGAGGTGTGTTGTGTGGAGATATGAGTGCCTGTGGAAAAGCATGAAGGAGACAATTAGAAAAATATCAAGTAAAATTCTGTCTTTACAGGGAATATTTTTCATCAGATTGGTTATACCAGGCACGGATTTGACCCATCAAGCCAGTAAAGCCTTACAGGCAGAAATAAGGGTATCATAAAAGCAGGATGAATTAATTCCTTCTCAGGGGAAAAGACCACCCATTGAGTCCTGAAGTTACTTTGATCCAAATCCATGAACTCAGCTAGAACTTAAAGGAAATTCTTCATAGTGTAACACGAGCACCAAGTGGCCACGAGGCATCAGGGCAAATCCATCACAATTCACTGTTAAGTAACGCTTCAGGTCTCAGCAGAGCTGTTTCATTCCACCATACAACTAAGAGGTCCCTCTTGGCTTTGCTTTTAATTAATTAAGTCACAGTAGTGGCAATCGTGGCTCTGCAGCAGTTGCTTTCTGCCTAATTGTACTCCAGGCATATTTGCAGCACTCCTGTCAAACTCCCAGGCTTGTTTCAGGAGTCAAGCTGCACAAATGAAGTCCCTGCTATTAAAAGCAGTTTGTTTCCTATTCTTTGACAATCTGTTCCTAGTGCTGAGCCCTGCTGGAGCATGGACTTCTTATTTTTTTGGCAATTTTTTTTTTAAAGTCAAAAACCGGTGACATTTACCAGCTACCAAACTGATTTCAGACTCTCACCATGCTCAGGAAATCAAGGTTCTCCATGTCAGCATCAGATTATTTGTAGCAGCAAGAGTTTGATATGCCCAGTTTGATAGATCCTGATGCAATGGCATGAATATTTTCATCCCTCAGTCCTAGATCTGGAATAATTTATTCCTTTCCATTCCTTCCAGCAATATGGTTTTTGATCAGTGAAACACATTTTTTCATGCAGACCACCCTAATATTAGAAGACACCTTGCTCCCAAAGGTTTGCAGGCAGGAGGATGTATTTTATATCACAATCCTCTTATTCTCCATCTTAAATTGCAGGACAGACACAGCAAATTAAATCAAGTTATGCTTAGTCACATCTGCTTCATTTGTATCAGGCTGGTGCCACTGAAGTAGAAATTGTTCTTAATCTCTCCACATTGCTCGAGCTGGAAGTTGACTGGCTTTGCACATAATGAAACTCATACTTCATCTCTTTAAAATGATTGGACCTGTGTTTATCTTTTTAAAGCAGAGTGACTTGTGGTCGCAACATATCAGCCTGTTATTGACGGGAGAGGGAGCATTTCCCTTCAGCTCCCTCGTTTACCTCTCCGGGTTTGTTTGTAGGAGATCTGTGACTAAAGCAGTCCCTGTTGTCCCCCAACAGAATCAGGACAGCCCCAGGTGTGAAGATCACGGACATCAGAGTGAGCGATGCTGACCAGTGGGGGGTCCAGGAGGAGACGGACAGCGCGAGGAGCACGGCCACCGTCACCTGTGTGCACAACGACCCCGGGGCAGAGGACAGGTGAGACACCACGGCCTTTCCTGCAGTAACCCTTGCTAAAGTGCTGGGAGAGACACGCCAAAGCTTCTTTAATGAGCCGTATTGCCCTTATTAGCAGTATTTTTTCCTCCTCAGCCTCCTTGGAAAAGCTCTATGTGACCTGATGAGAGCTTTTTCCTTTTGTTTCACTTCTGAGCTTCGGATGTAGATTATCTAATTAAATTGGAGGCAGCCCACAAATCCTTAGCTCACATCTGCTTTTCATGAACCTTCAGGGCAGCAGAATTCCTGCTGCCAAAGGGCCAACAGGAAAAAATGAACTCAAATGGAGAAATATGAAGAACAATTGAAAGCAATATAGGGCAATGCTGTCTTCTTTATTTGAAAATCTGTGAAAGTCACAGCTATTCAGTTTTATTCATTATTGCTGCAAAACACCTGAGTGTCTATGAACTCTCCTGAATGCTGTGTACTTTGTTATGTTAATGCTCCCACAAGCTGTATCAAAGGTAAGGAGAAATTTACATTGTTAGTCAGAATTATGTATTTTACAAAACGAGCAATTTCTCTCCATTATCATGCAGTTAAAGTACACTGTGCATAAATTTAGCTAGAAATTGTATAATAATTAGGAAATCACAAAACTTCATGTCAGAATTTTTATTTGTGGAGTCTTTTGCATCCATCCTTTTTTCCTGAAAATTCCTGTGAGGGAGAAAAATGGTTGCTAGCAACTGTTTAGATCTAGGAAGATTGTTGTCAGAGTTTTGCAGAGCAAAGAGAGTTTCTACTCTGCTTAGTTTCTGCAGCTGTATTTGAGGAGGAAACAAATCCCACCCAGCCCTGGGTACCTGCCATAAAAGTGTTGGGGGAAAAGCTACTTAATGTGAGTTTACTTTTTAGCAACAGGCAGTGCAGTAGGCACTGCTGAGGTGAGAGTCCTCTTGGATGTGTAAAACAGGCCTGATGAATAGCAGGGAAAAGTGCCTGTTTCTCTCCAGTGCCGGTGCAGAGTGGAGGCGACTGAGTGGGACGCAGACATTTGCCTTGTAAACCCGTGAAGTGAGGGGAGGTGATTCCCCACTCTGGTGAAGTGCTACAGAGCCTTCTGGCATGAATTCCAGGCGAGGCTTTCAGTTAATCAGCTCTTTCATGCACTTCTTCTCAATTAAAAAAAAAAAAAAAAAGGAAAAGTTTGGTGGGGGAAGACCCCTCCTGTTTCCTAAGTGCATTCGCCAGTCGTAATTCCGAGGTTGTGATGCAGGAAATTCTAACCACCTTCCATCCTTATTTTCCTGGGGATTCCTAGGCTACTGTACTGATAAAGCAGAGCTCTGGCAGCTGGATTTGGCACTGTATACTTTATCTCCAAATCCTTTGCCTTTTGGCAAGAAGTCCCGACTCCTCCAAAAGATGCTGAAGAAGCCAGTGAGTCCCTTTGGTGGGGTAAGAGCTCAGCCCAAGGGGCAGTGGCCTGGAGGGGATCTTTGTGCTTGTCCTGGAGCTGCTCAGTGACACACAGAGGCTCCAGCAGTGAAGGCTCAGCCGGAATTGGCTCTGGGGGATGATCGGGGTGGCTGAGCAGTGTCTGATCTCTGCTGAACTTTGCACTGGGGATTTTTTCTCTAACAGCTGTGACCTCTGTTCTGTTTGGAGCAAGGTGGAGAGCCATCAATTTGAAAGTGAAATGCTGAGGTTAAAGGATAACTTCAGATCACTTGGTGTTACAGAAATCGAAATGAAACAACTATTTTTAAAGTTGGGCAAAAAAATAGTGTGAATGCTGAAGCTTATTGCCTTCTATGTGGTTTCACTAATCCATGAAATTATACCTGTCACAGTAACTTAGTTTTTATTAAAACTGAGTTTTGCTTTGTGTTGAACTGTTAAATTGCACAAAAGCAATGAATCTCAAGTTAATTAATACTTTGACCCTTTCCTTTGTGAGATTAGTTTAATATTTTTGGATTAATTAAAGTATGCAAATAGAAACTGCTGAAAGATCATTTCCAGATTTGCAAATATTGTAGTACTTAGAGTAAATATTTAACTTTGATCTCTACTTTAATTTGCCTTTTTGGTCATAATGGTGGCCCTCCTGTTCCTTTTGAAGGATGTTAAGTGTTTATGTGTAAATTCTGCTGTCTCATTTAAATGAGCAGAGACCTGAGCTTGCTTCTGTTAAGGTCAGTGTGGCAAAACTGTCGCTAAACCCGATTCATCTGTTCCTCCTTTTAGTAATTCAAGGAGCTTCATTAAAGGCAGTTTATGTATGAGAGCACAGGATCAATCTCTTTGGTTGCAGAGCAGAGGCTGTTAGTAAACAGAATCGTATCTACCTCGGGGGAGATGGGTTTTTCTCTCTTGGAAGTCATTTCAGTGCTGCTGAGCAGTGGGTAAGCCAGGACTGAGCCTGGCTTAGCTTTTTTCTGAGTAAGAGTTGGCCACGTTTGTGGTGGCTTTGAGCCTCCCTTGGGCTCTGTGAAGAGAGGCAGCTCCAGGAGCTCTGGTGAAACCGAGAAACTCCAGCAAGTCACAGCTGGGTTTGTGAAATCCCTGACTGTCCCTACTGCCCTGCCCCCCGACAGGGCTGTTCTCCCCTGCCTTGCACTTGGGTTGTGCTTTCTTCCTCAGTGTGCAACTCTGATAAGAGCCACCAACAGGCACTGCCTGCCAGGAGAACAGTGGCTCTGGGCTGTGACACGTTCCTAATCCAGTCTGCATTCCTTTTAGCCACTGTTATCAGCTGGAGCATTTTCAAATTTGCTTACTTTTCTAATCTTTCTCCCTCTCCCCTCTGCAGTGTTATCGCTATCCTGAGTTTTTCATCTCCATTTCTCACATTTCCCTACGCAAATTGAGTGTCCATTAAAATGCTTTAAATTAAGACCTTTCCTCCTTTCATGCAGAGTGCATCATGCCTATTCTGTGCATTACTTGAAAAAAAAATTCCTTATCACAATGTTTCAGGCAGTTTACATTATATTCTATTAAAAATCCATTTTGTCCAAGGTTGTCACAATTCATAGATTAAAGCTTTCCGGAGTGTGTTTTGTTAGGAATACATTCATAAATTCACCTCTTTAGTAGTCCCATAAGCTTGTATTTAAAACCTCTTTTTGATAATGTAGTTGAACAAAGAGTGTAAGAAGAAGAGATTTATTTTAAATACACACACGCAAATATACCCACATCTATTCTGATTTGTGTGGAGACTTGTTTTGCCCTTACTGCTGCCATCTCAAAGGACTTTTTTGGTAGCTTGTTGAGTGAGGAGATTGATTGTTGCCATCTACATCTCTTCTCCCTCATGTTCTCTCCTTGGGGCAGAACTCTGAATTTTGGTGGGGTTAGTTGAAGCAGCAGCATGGTTTGTTGCAAAAAGTTTCTGCTTCAAGCACAAACAGTCCTGCATTATGTCTGCAGCGCTTCCATTCCATAGGAAAGAATCTTTATGGATTTCTGCATTGAGTTCGATGCATCTTGTAAGGAGTGAGGAAGTCAGGGCTGGTGGGCTAAGCAGCAATTAGGGTGTTTTCAGCCCTCAGTGCAGAACAGCTGAGTTTGTGAAGGGCTGGGGTCTTACCCTGTGCTGTAGGGCTATATACTGAATTATTGCAAAAAATGCTTTTGAACCACAAGGCTAAAATTTGGGAGTCTACCAGACAGGAATCCTTTGTGGTTTCCAGAAAATTGATCCTACTTTTGTAAAGACCGTGCAGGCTTTTCTCACTGTATTTGCCAAAAGATGGATAGAGCCTTGCAATTCTTGTGTCCTTTGCTCCTGAGAGTTCTCTGGAAGCATCTCAGGAAATGCCACAAATTAACCTGCAGTGGGACTGGGGCAAGAGGGCTCGAAAAGACACCCTGAGAGCCTGGTCCATCTTGGCAAGCTACAATACCCCATAACTCAGCACTGATACCCTGAGGAATGGGATTTCTGGAGCTTTACCAGAGTGATTTAGCATTTTATCGGATTAGGTTGTTTCAGGTCTTTGCTGAGCAGGAGCTGAGTTTCCGTGGTCTCATTTGAAAGGCCCCACAATACCACGTATTTCATGGTCATGGTGTTTGGTGTCTCCTTGATGGAAAGCTGAAGAAAAAAAACTTAATGTGACTTGGCCCTTGGTTCAGGACAGATGAGATGGCAAGAGCACAACAACTTAGGTCAGAGAGTTGCAGCTCAGCTCTGAAAGAGAGCATAGAAAGAGATAATTTTCCTTACTCAGGAACACTGTCATTAAATTGTATTGGATTATCATCAGGTAAGGAGAGTCTGATCCTCTGACAAACTAGTATTTTAATCAGAAGGGTTATATTTATGCTAACTAGCAAAGTTAATAAAATTGATTTTACCTGCAGTGTTGAGTACAGTGTTATTGAGACCAAACTGGTTCTTCTCACCTAGGGATTATTTTATCTTCATGTCTATAATACAGCTTCCATCTCTCAGGATATCCATCACTGCATAAATTAAACTTGCATGAGGGGCACTCAGAATGCAGAAGTAAGGAGACTGAAATCTTCAGAAAGCTTTTTTTCAAGTGCCCTCAGAAGTATTTATTCTGTCACCTGAAAATTTACATATATATTTTTTTTAATTGATACAGACCAGCTCAGCTCTGGCATTTTACATCATCTATCTTTAAACTTGAATGAAAAATTAGGATTCTATAATGATCATTCCATTTCTTTACTATTTTAAGAGGTGTTTACAGAGTTCAAATTATTTAAATTATTTTACAAAACTGTAATTGTAATGTCTAAGACAGAAAAAGCAGTTATTTTATGTATTTATAGATAGGTTTTAAAATAATTCACTTCTTTTTCTGTGCTTGCCCTACATATTCCACTCCCCATTTTACCGAGGGCAATAAGCACTTACTCCACCTGGAAGCCTGGGGTGCTCTGAGGCTTCCTGGCAGTGCTCAGCACTATCTCTGCCAGATTGGAGCTCTCTCTCACAGCTTTTTGGAGGTGTTTCTGCACTGAATTCCCCACCACTCCGCTCCAGAATGACA